CTGCTGCCCCATGTGGAGTAACCGTTCTCCAGGACAGGGGGCTTCTCCTGGAGGGGGAGCAAGGCAGGGTTGGAGAGGTGCCTCTTCCTGCTGGAGGAGGAGGACCTCCGTGGAGACTTGCGGCAAGCAGCCAAGCTCTTGCAGGCCTCCTCCAGCTGCTTCTCCAGCTCCCTCACCACCAGCCGCATGTAGTCGAAGCTGGCCCGTGAGAGTGCCTTCACCCAGGCCTCCATGGCAGCCTGCCCATCGGCCGCCAGCACGTAAGCCCTGGCACCAGCATCATCAAAGCGGATGGCGAAGGCGAACTCCTCGGCGGCCTCGCACAGCTCCACGGTGCAGCCCTCCAGCACCACCAGCCCCATGGGCTCCCGGCTCTCCTGCTCCTCGAAGTAGAAGAGGAGGTTGCCCTTGAGAACAAACCAGCGGCGCTGGTAGGATGTGGCGTGGTGGGCATGGTGGTGGTGCCCCGCTTGCGGAGGAAGCCGGCATGGTCGGCGGGTGAGTCGCAGGTGGCGTAGTGGGCCACGCTCCGTTCGTTCAGCTTCATTGCCACGCCTAGGAGCAGAGGAAAAGAAGGGGAAGAAGTTGGCTCGGGGTGAGGAACATCTCACCTGACCTGCCAGGAGAAGCCTGATACTGCCCCAAGCCCGCTGTGGCGAAAAGCAGCCCCGACTCCAGCAGCCAGTGCTGCAGGACGGCATCTCACCAGCAAGCACCCTGCGAATGGCGAGATGGTTCCTCACTGCTGCAGAGAGGAGGTCATCACCAGAGCCCCACCACTGATACATCTGACGTCTCTGGGGACGACAACACTGCTGCTTCATTTCTTGTTTTACGAGTGACCTACTTTACTGGGTTTTTATGAGGCACATCAAAAAAAATTTGCCTCTGTGCCTGTAAGGCATTTGTTTCACTCTCTCTTATTTTAGGGCAGGACAAGGAGAGTGTTTTCATACCCAAGGGTTCCAGGACCTTTGTTTGAGCACTCACTCCCCATCTCCATGCAGGACCCCCTGGCCCCACAAGCCCTCCCAGCAGCAGCACCCCCAGCCCCAGGTTAACCAGCAGCAGGGTGTGAGGTGCCGTACCAGCTGCGTGGGTCAGACCACGACCCCTTGCCGTCTTCCTTGGGTGGGCTGCTCCCTTGCCGAGGGCCTCCAAAGCTTCATCGTGCTGAGCCCCATTCCTGATCAGAGGAAAGATGGCAGAGAGGGAGTCACAACCCAGAACAGCTCGGGACTGAAAAAGCAAAGGGCTGCGTTGCTCCCACCCCAGAAAGCCAGGGTCCTCAGCACACAGGAGCCCCGCCAGGACCGGGCACTGCTGGTGAGTGGCTCTGAAAACCAGAGTGGCAAAACCAGGGGCACTTGCATTGGCTCCAAAGCCCAAGCCCCATCCCAGCTCAGGCCAGTGCTCCTGTGGGTTTAGGTTTTGGCTCCTCTGGGTTTGTTTTGATATCGTTACGAAAAAAAATAGAGC